CACATGGTTGAGACTTCCACTTCCGGTTGAAAGTTTGAATTAGAGAATCTCTCCTCTAAAAACATGATTTTACCGATTCCAAATCATATAGTCTATGGAATCTTTCATGTAGGGTTATTGAGTCATACCATTTATCTTGCCACAATAGGATTTTTGTATTAGAACCTGGAACAAGTGAAAACAATTCATCATATTCACTTTGAAAATCCGGTAAACTTTTTATCGCATTTTCAATGTTGCACCAAGCACCTGGGATCATTTTTTCATTATGTATATCGTAGGCTTCCTGTATAAATTGTGTATGTTAGTACTGCAATCCTTCCAAACCCCGTGTATTCGATTTTAGTCGTCACTGCCACTTGGTGAGCAAGGCTAAGTTTTGAGCCTTCAATGATCCTAGTCCTAGCTCACTATCATTTTTAGAAGCCACTATTTTTTGCAACAAAACCCAATGAATTTTCGATTTATTATCGTCACCACCCCACAAAAATATTCTTCTCAGTTTTTCCAATTTGTCTATAACTCCACTTGGCGCCTTGAATAAAGAGAAGTAATACGTCGGAAGGCTGTTGATGACACATTTGATTAGGGTACGACGACCACCAAACGATAAAGTTTTAGCTTTCCAAACTGACAATCTGGATTGGTGTAACATCCCGGAATCGCAAGAGTAGAGTTGAAGGGCTAAAAGTGTAAGTTTAGAGGATGACTCGGCGAGTCCATGGATAGACTCGACGAGTCAGGTCGCGGTCATGGTCGCGTGTCTAGTGGCCTACTCAGCGAGTCCCAAGGATGGACTCGGCGAGTAGGTGCTGTATGGAGAAAACCCTAATTTTCGGGGTTGAGCCCTATATAAAGAGCATTATACCCCTCCACAGCCTCCCTTATTCCCCCCTTGAGTTCCAGAAACCCTAAATTCGTGGAGAGATCATTTGTGGAGCAAATTAGAGCTTGGAGAGGTGTTGTTTGAAGAGATCTTGAAGGAGAAGTGGCTTGGATCAAAGGGCTTTGCTTGGATTCGAGTTTGGCTGCTATTGAGGCATCTTTTGGAGGTAATATCTTCGTCCTTAGGCTGTGCATTCCTAGTTTCATCATTTTGGGGTTTGTGGGGAGTATGTCTTGGAATGTTTTGGAGTTTGGAGGATAGATCTGAGGTTGCTACCTCAGATCTGGAATATTGAAGGCCTAGAGTGCATTAAAGTTCCTGTGTTTGTGTGCTTAGTGAAGCACCATGTCCCAAACCTTGGTTTTAAGGTGAATATGGCTTAGATCTCGTTAGATTCACGTAAAGTTTGCCACTTTACGTGATGGATGGATTGTAGGAGGTTGGATCTATGTTTTGGATCAATTGCATGGCCTGAGATGCTTCTGTATGGATTCAGACCGGTGGTACTCGACGAGTCACATGGGTGGACTCGACGAGTTGCTTGAAGATGGCCTGGGACTCGACGAGTTGGAAGAACAACTCGGCGAGTAGGTTGAAGATGGCCTTGGACTCGACGAGTCCATTTGGACTCGGCGAGTCTTGTCGAGGAAGTCCCAATATTTCTGGTTGAGTCGATGAATCGGTGAGTCAAGGGATGACTCGGTGAGTTGGGTGCGAGTGGACTCAGAGTTGTTGGACTCGACGAGTCTTGGGGTGACTCGGCGAGTTGGGTCGCTGATTGAAGGAAGTTCTGAGCATATGGACTCGGCGAGTCATCGGGTTGACTCGGCGAGTAGGGTCAGTCAGGGGTTGACTTTGACTTGTCCGTGGTTGACCAGTTGTCTTCCAGGGGTATTTTGGTAATTAAGGGTATTTATTGAGTTGTATGTTTTGATGTTTAGTGGAGGAGTTCGTGTCAGAGTTCGGAGCAGCGGGATCTTATCTTTTCAGCCGACAGTTTCGAGGTGAGTTATCCTCACTATATCAACAGGGTCTAAGGCACCAAGGCCGGCCCTTTATTGTATTGAGATTCGGTTATGGTTCTTATGTTATTGTTTGATGTGTCTGCATCCTGGTAGCTAGGATGGTACATGCTAGGAGGCCTTGCTAAGGTCAGTTTTCCCGATATACAGAGTGATGCTATGCTAGTGACCGGTTAGGTCGGTAACCCGGTTAGGGTAATGATATGCTATGTGATCTGCTTGCTCGGTTTGTTGACTATGATGTTATATGAATGTATGTTTTGTGCACATGGTTGTTTGGACTGGAGATGGGTTGAGGCGGGTCCTGCTTTGTGCTGTAGGCCAAGATACCCAGGGCGGACCGGTTGTTCCGAAGGCCCAGCGAGCGGTCCGGATAGGCTGTAGGCCCCACGAGGGCGGACCAGACGTGCCGAGGCTCGGAGAGTGGACCAGGCCGACTGAAGGCCCGATGCGGGCGGACCAGTCACACTGTAGACTCAGAGAGTGGACCAGGTGGGTTGAAGGCCCGATGCGGGCGGACCAACCCCACTGTAGACTCGAAGGACATGACTAGACCTGGAGGATGGATCCGTTGGACTGAAGGCCCGATACGGCGGACCAGTCACACGGTAGACCCGATATGCATGGCTGTTCTATGTTCTGTTATGTTATGTATGTTTTATATGTTTTGGACCGGAAGGTCGCAGCCTGGAAGGGCGTCTGCGTGGTTGGTATTTTGGGGGTATCTCACTAAGCTTTAGGGCTTACAGTTGTGGTTTAATGTTTTTCAGGTTCTTCAGGAGACTGTGGTAAGGTGAAGGCACGATCGTACCGCTCCTCATGATTTTGCAGCAATGTAATTCTAGGAATACTCTAATGACTTGTATTGAAAACCTTTTTGTAAACATTTTAATGAAAATCGGATTGTTTTGAAAAAATTAAATTGGTTGTATTTTTCGGATGTTACAATTGGAATTTATCAATGATTGGTCTCCAATGCTTCTTAAGGGCCATGTTAGCCCTTACCGACACTCCAAGATATGAGAACGAAAAAGATCCTGTGAGGCAACCCAATAGTTGAGCTTGAGATTGGAGATCTGGATCTGGAATTCCGATGCCAAAAAGTTGGGATTTGTTGAAGTTGACTTTAAGGCCAGAGCATATATGAAAGCATTTAAGGATACATGCAAGATTCTTGATGGAAGATTTATCCCATTTTCCTATGAAGATGACACATAACAATAGAGTTTTTTTTTATATTTTGTTTCTATTCATCCTTATATTCATGTTAAATGATGATATATGTCATATTTAATATAATTAATAATATTTTAATATATTTCTCACATTTAACATGGATAACATGATATATAGAAAGAAAAAAATAAGATAATATTGAATTTCTCATAATAATATTCATACAATGTAATATTAATCATCATAAATGATCTTAGTTGTTAGGTCACTATATAATAATATATAATACAATGTGATTTTAACCGTCATAAATGTCGCTATAGAACAATATTCAACTAAGGGAATGTTTTGTAGGTTCTGAATTTTTAAAATCTGAATTTCTAAGAGAGTTTGAATTTTTAAGATCTGAATTGTTAACATTTGTTTGGTTGGAATCTCTGAATTTTTATGCTGAATTATAAAAATAACAATTTTACCCTTCTATATTATTTTGTTGGATTCAAAATATCTTATAAAATAAATATCGAATCAACTACTTTAATAATTATAAAAAAGAAAATATAAACATGATACAAAATCCAAATTAAACATAAATTCAAATTAAACACAAATCAAACAAAGAGGTCAAACTTAAATGTATTTGGTTCAATACCAAGTAAAAGAGATCTTTAAATTATTTACTGTTTAAAAGAATATATATATATATATATATATATATATATATATATATATATATATATATATATATATATATATATATATATATATATATATATATATATATATATATATATATATAACGTGGTTAGTCTTTTCATGTTTGTATCTTTAGCCTGTTAAATCTAGACATGGGTCTATTATAACTTATTAAGGGCATGTTTTGGTCTCCTTCATGGTCTCTTCATTTTGACGACTTGTCCCTTCACTTTTACAACTTTACTCTTGTTGATTCCATTATATTCCCACTTTGATTATTTTCTTAGTTCATTATCAGTAAAATCTCAAAGCTCAAAGAAAAAAAAAAAAAAAAAAATGAAGGTATGCGACAGGAAAGAAAAATTCTAACATAAATATTCTTAACTATACTAGTTGTTAGGTGTTAACTGATATATATGATTATGAATTTTAAAAATGGTTAAATGACTAAAATGAAGATTTTATGACAAAATGTGAAAATGAGTAACCCTCGACAAATTATAAAATAATCATTCAAGATTTTCAATGACAAATTTTGCAAAATACACATGTTTATAAAATGGATAATGATTTAAAAGGTTACATAAGTATATATATTTAAGCATAATTATTTTTATACATCTCGTATGGGTACAAAATAAAATATATAAATAATTAAATATGTTAAAAGTAATCATTAAAATATGTATATATATAAATAAACATAAATAAATATAATATAAATTATATTATCCTTTTAAATCATTATTCATTTATAAAATTATTTTATGAATAATCTCGTTAGAAAAACATTCAAAATAAGGAAATAACTTGCAGGAAGGTTACTTTTGTCTATAACGTTAAGTTGCAAAATAATTTTTTACAAAAAAAGTATTTTATAAAATAAAACAAATTTAAGAAAACATTTCCATTTCCCCAAAGAATTCACCGTTGCTCACTCATTTTAGAGATCAACCATTTTCGAACATTTTATTAAATTATTATTCCTAAATTTCTTTAAATCATCACAGAAAACATTTCCCCAAGAATTCAATTCACCATAATTATATTTGTATATAGGAGCAAGAAACTGATTATAGATATGCAAATCAAACTCCCCCCAAATCCCTAATCTTTGAATTTACTGATTTAATAACTCAATCGAAGCTTATCATCATCATCATCACCAATGGCAATTACCAAATACCAACCCACTTTCTATATTTTCATCAAAATCACTACTACTCGATTCTGTTCACACCCATACGATTAATCAAAGCATTGCCGATAACACCATCAGCTTTCTGGCACTTCCCCTTTTTCTCCATCCCAGACATGTAATGCCTCACTTCGTCTTTTATCATTTCCTGCATCACCGCCATTAATTCCGGGTTGAAGAACTCATAGTTCGGACCACCACTTTGCAGCGCCGTCGCCTGTGGCGGTAGCGGTGCCGGAGTTTCCTCTAGGAACTTTTGTTTCAGTTCAGATCCAGGTAAGGACAAGCTTAACGAAGTCGGTGGATCATTCAGAACCAGACCATCGTTCAGAGGACGATGAATCGAATGCCTAAAGTCGTCAGACCCGGTCGGGCTGTTAGGGTTCAGAAACAAACCCGAGCAACCACTATCCGGTCCGAGGCTAGCAGACCGCTTTAATGGCGGTTGATAATTCACCAGATCTTGCCCATCGAGGAACGAAAAATCATCGTTACACATTGATGAACACTTACGCTTGAGCGTTGAATTCCAGTGGTTTTTTATGGCGTTATCTGTCCGGCCGTTGAGCAACCGTGCTATGGTGGCCCACTTGTTCCCGAACCGCGCGTGAGCCCTCACGATTGTCTCATCCTCCTCCGGCGTAAACGGTCGGTGCTCCACCTGCGGCGACAGCTGGTTGCACCACCGTAGGCGGCAGGATTTACCAGAACGACCAGGAATCGACTTGCTGATGAGCGACCAGTTCCGAGCACCGAGTTTTTGAACAAGCGTCTGTAAGAGGTCGTCTTCTTCAGGACTCCATGGACCCTTGATCCGATCCATGTCATTCTTAACAACCGCCATTTGAATAATTTTTTATCTATCTGGTGGAGAAAATGAAACGCCCTAAATCCGATCGGTTATCATGGAAAGAATATCGGGGTTTTGGTGAGTAAAAGGTTAAGAAAATTAAATTCGAGAAATTTGAAGGGAAGAAGAGTGGGGGTTTTATATATGGGAGGAAGATGGGGAGATAAAGATGAGGTGATAACCGGAAAGGCAGTTATGATTATACAACTGGCAGTGGACACGTGTTGAATTGCGAGTGCGTGATGGCTGTAAACCTGCATGAAAACAGAGTTATGAAAAACAGAAAATTAAATTATTTATTTAGTTAGAGAAATCACCAAGATAATCATTTTGTTACAAGTATTTTCTTTTTCTTTCTCCTTCCATTTCTTTGTTTGTAAATTGAGTCTTTTCTTGTACGTTTTCTCCCGCCTTGGTGTTCTCTTTTATATAATTATTTGCTTTTTTTTTTTTTTAAAGTAATTTTTAACATAAACAAAAATCAGAAACATAACCATAACATCACCTATTTTCGTAGTTTACCGCTATAACTTCTCTTTTATATAATTATTTACTGTTTAAAAAAAAGTATTTTTTTATATAACATAAACAAAAATCAGAAAAATAACCTAGTCAAAATTTTGGTCATTACATGTTTTCATGCAGGTTTACAGCCATAACTCTTTAAACCTTTCAAATTGTTTTAAGGATTTTTCAATGTCAAAAATTAAAAAATAACAATAATAGTCAAAATTTAAGTCTATTTACTTTGTTTTAATTGATTAAAAACAAACTATATATATAGCATATTCAACGAATGATATGTTTGACAAAATTAACTAATAACCATAGCTAGAAGTTAAAGGTTCAAAATATATCTTTAATTAATATAGAAGTTTTTTATTTGGAAAAAATAGATTAAAGTTTTTAAAATATTAAATTACGTAAAATTAAAATGTTATAAAAGATAAAAAACAAAAAATCATATGATTAAATGACTCTCATAATATAGTTATAATAGATTATATATTAGAAGCTTTTTATTTAAATTAAAAAATTTAAGTTCTATGAGAACATCTTTTATAATATAATCTTATTTTTCTAATAACCAAAAACTTTTAAAATTTAGATGCTATGAATACAAAAAAAAACACCATCTAATTTTATCTTAACCATCATTTTTGGAAAGTAATTCGTACACAATAGTTTTTTACCATACACAACAATTTATGAATTATAGAGTTCTACAATACAACACTTTAAAACACAATTTATTGTGTACGAAGAAAAAGTGTTGTTTACGAATCACTTCCCATCATTTTTGTTTTATAAAGGAGTTTGGTATAAAATTTATTAGGTTTAGTTTTAATTTATTTTTCTAAAAGCCGTTCATTAAATGTAAAGTTACTAATAAATGAACTAAATAATTGTAAATATATGGAAAGTATTTAAACAACCAGAAAAACGTTGGCATATCATGGCAAGGGTTTATCGGAAGGAATTCAAATCACCGACCGTTTGGAAGTTAATGCAGGGGAAGAGAGTGTACGGCATGGGGAGAAAAGAAAGCATGGAGCCATGGACTTTCAGTATGCCAGCCTGGCTCCCATATTGTTTTCCTATCTTTAAGAATAATAAATATAAAAACATAATCTAAAAAGATAAAAGATATATAAAAATATAAAAGGTATCCAAAATTGACTATTTGCCTGAGGATAAGCAACGCTTCAAACTCGGACTGAATCGGTCCGAAGACCGGAGACAGAAAAAAAAAACATTTTTACTTTTAACTTCATACTCGCTCGAAACGGGTTTCATTTTTTGGATCGAATTAGATAATTTGTTGAGCTAAACAACATGTTTTATTAAAAAAAAAAAAAAAAACTACATTTAATTAATAAAAAACTATATGTTTTATAAAAATAATTGCATTTTTAACAAAACTTGCACAATTTATAAAAAACAACACTTTAAAAAAAACTACACATCTTTAAAAAAATGCACATTTAATAAAGAAACTGCATGTTTTATAAAAGAAAATTGTACTTTATATAAAATATAAAAGAACACATTTTTGTTAGAAACGACACTTTTTATAAAAAAAATGCAATTTTGTTATAAAATACAACTTTATGTATGAAAAACATCAAACTATAACACAAAAAACAACAAAAAACATTTTTACTTTTAACTTCATACTCGAAAAGTCGAACTTCAAAAAAATTGAGATCTTCAATTTTTGCTTAGATCATTTTTGGCTAAAAATTGATCGATTTAAAATTCGATTTCTAAGTTGTAAACTGTTATACTGAAACTTTGAAAAATCACAACTTCCTCTATTGAAACCAGATTTAGATGTTCTCTATATGCATGTTTTCGGTTTAATGACTACTAAAACTTTCATTTAGATACTAAGGCTAAAAAATAAATTTATCAAAAATTTACTTTTTACGATACACAATGTTGTGCCGGTTTATCGCGAAACTTTGAAGAAGCATAACTTCTTCATACGAAGTTAGATTTTAGCTTTCTTTATATGTACGGAATCATTGTCACATACACTATAATGTTTGTTATGATTATTTATCCTAAATAATCTTCTATCAAAAAATCGTTTTGATGCTTATTATTTCTAAATTGACCAGCCTGAATTTGTGGGCGTTACTGTATTACAATTATCTTCCTCTTACGATGATTACGTCATGTAATCATCAACAAAACACAACTTATATAATGAATCAACCCACAATAATATAATTAGTATATTTAATCATCAAAAAATTAACCCAATTTCTCATCGCAGTTATCTTCTTTATTCTTAAGGATCTACCCTAAGGACCATCTATGTACATAGTACTAGTTCATGGATTCCTCCATGATACTTGTCAGTAGGGTTTTTTTTTCTACATTTATTCCTTAGGACTTGTCCTAAGGAATAGGCACGAAGTCCATCGCTACTAGGGTTTATCTAATAGGTCTTAAGTCTATAACTGCCAATGTTTATCTATTAGGAACTAAGTCTATGGCTGCCATTATTTATCTATTAGGCACTAAGTCCATAACTGTCAATGTTTATCTATTTGGCACTAAGTTCATAGCTTCCAATGTTCATCTATTAGGCACTAAGTCCATAATTGTCAGTGTTCTACGAAGCTATCATCAATTGGTTTGGTAGTTGTCACCTATGTTTTGCTAAGCGGCCCCATCGTTGGTACACCAGTACCATTCCTTAAGTCGTGGCATCCTATCTTTGCTTATATACTATGACATTCTATATTTTGTCGTACTATGACATCTTTCACTACCCTTCGTTACCTAATGTATTATATATATATATATATATATATATATATATATATATATATATATATATATACATATATAGTATAATTCATATAAGTTATGTTTATAACATTTCATCTAAGACATAACATCTTTGCACATAAGCATGTATAGCAATTAGTTAATTAGATACTTCATATATGTGTGTAAGATGAAAGTAACTATGCACTCACTTGTTAAAGTGATGACTGGAAAGTTGGGCAGCGCTTCGCTTCAACATTTAGCCTTTCCTTTGATATGACCTAGGTTCAAATATCACTAAGTCTTAGTTTATTATTTATTGCAACTAATTATTAGTCTAGATTCATTATATATTCAAAGTCTATTGATCTATAGTTGATAAGGGACAATCAAGTAAAATCATATCGGAGGTAGGGTCCATTTGGTATACAAAGTATATTGTTTGGAAAGCCCACTTTAAACACCTTATTAAATCTTGTCTTATCATCATCCACATAACTAGATCAATCTGTATAACGACTTGGAATCACTGATAAATATTTTTTATAGGTTCATAATAACGATAATAAGCTTAAACATAAGTTATATTTAAAGTACGGTAAGCATAAATCAACTTACAGGTGGTTTAACAAAAAATTGGACTTTACAAAGGCAAAACTTCTAGATCGAAAACTCTATTTCTTGGTGCTTTCTGACGCTTTGGAACTTCACTACTATCCCTTAGGAAGTACTAGAACAATGCTTGGGGACCTTGGGGGTTTTTTAAGAGATTGGAATGAAGAGGTATGAACAAATGAGTGAAATTTGGATCTATTTATAGGGTGCCCAGGGGGCCCTCATGTCGTGAACCAAGTCTCTCATGTCGTGAGCTTGCGTTGGCACCAATGCTTTGCCTTTGGTGCTAACACGTGGCACTAGACGCAAGTAAAACTGCAGATGTTCAAAAAATCATAACATTTGCATAGAGGCTCCGTTTTTTATGTTCTTTATATCCACACATAAGTATTTTCGATTAATACAACTTTCATTTTGACCCTACCAACTAATTCTTGACCAATCTTAAGTTTAACAGTCTAAGAAGATTACATTGTTAATGACCATGTTAAATTTCATAACTTCTACATACAGACTCCGTTTTCGACTATCTTTTTAGCGTTGAACTCCTATTAACGATATATTCAATTCTTGCTTAGATCATTTTGGCTAAAAATCGATCAATTGCTGATTTTTGTGTTGTATATTGCTACGCTAAAACTTTGAAAAATCATAACTTCCTCTACTGAAGTTAGATTTGGATATTCTTTATATGCATGTTTTTGGTTTAACAACTACTACGAATTTCGTTTAGATTACTAAGGCTAAAATGTAGTTTCCAACTTTACTCATTAGGACCTCACCCCAAGGAAATATCTAAAATCCTAAGTCCATTAAGTCCACAACGAGGCTATACCTGTTGGATTAAGGTGTCTAAGCTCATAACTAAATTGGTATATACTTGTAATTAAAAGCAAAGTCCTTCTTGGGTTGTTCTCATGAACTAGAAACTGATTAGAATGACATTTGTAGAGAAAGAGGAGATAATTTGTTAATTTATTATATGATTAATAAATTAATTAGAAATTATATGATTTGTTAATATATATTATATGATTAATATATTAATTAGAAATAAAAACAAATTGATTTGTTAATTTATTATATGATTAGTAAAT